TACATATGGTACTCCTGACATGCTGACAGTAACATACACCCTGAGAATCATGCAGAAGTCACTAGAGGTGTTTTTATTAAAGCTATTTATTTGGTTATGCATTAGGGCCACAGGTTTTCAAAGTAGGGCTGTGCGATATGACCGATATAAAACATTTCTCATCCCAATAACGATTTATGTCACAAAATATTGCATTTTCTGTAAATTCTGTGACTCCTGGACAACTCGACTTGAAGTGTTTTCAGCTGGGCATCATGTATCTGCAGTTGAGTGTTTTGACCAATGCATGAAACTTTACAATTTTAGACATAAGTTGTAACGGTAAGTATGTGATTAAACTAGTATTTAGTACACGGCGTGCTGCAGGGAAAAGCCTGTTCTAACGTTTGAGTCTAAGGTTCATTTTGAGCACCTGTCGGCTCTTTGTTGCTTCTCATCCGTAAACTCTCTCCACGCTCTTTCACGTGATTCTTGCGTCGGTGGTTAAAGAGGTTTGTCGTGTTTGAGTCTGTGGTGGGGACCGGTTTGCGCCATAATTTGCAGATTACAGTTTTCTGGTCCGTGTCAGACTTTTCATAACCAAACCATGTCCATGCTACAGAGGTAGCCACTCGTTTAGAAATAAGGTGCTCGATTTGTTTTGACTGGTCCTTCTGTTCGGAGCTAACTGGTTCTGCCTCATCTTCTCTGGCCATGCTGGTATCCTCTGTGCCCCGATGAAAAAATATTGCCGTAAACAGTGTATTTTGCAACACCATGAAACAAATGATAGTGTGCAATTTGAAACGAAGCACTAATGGCTTCCTATCTGAAGCCATTAGTGCTTAATAACTTATTAGATTCTCAGTAGCTGAACCTTTTAACCCAAACCTGTAAGTGTCTCATTACACAGTAATCACTGACCTTCTCTGAGTTTCAGCAGTGACTCTGGAGGTCGGGGCATGTCATCAATGAACAGGTAGAGAGGCTCAAAGTATTTGAAGAGTGAGGCTGTATTCTCATCAATGGGCATGGTGTCAATGACCTACAGGGACATAAGAAAGACTCAGAGATCAGGAGATTCATTACTTCACTGCAAGTCCCTGAGACATTTAAACAGAAGCAGATATTTGAGTGATCAGTGAGAAAAGACAAGTGCTATAAAAATGCCAGTTACTCCTCATTACCAGATAACTAAAGCCAAAGTAGTGGTAACGTTTCAGCTAATTGTTTATTCTTGCATCCAGTTTCAACATACATTGTTTAACCCACATAAAATGAGGGTACCTCTTTAAGAAATGATAGAGGTGAGGAAAGATGGACAGCCTGCCCAATCAATCAGAATAAACAGGCTATGTGTCAACCAATGAGAAAGCTGCCTGCCGCTGTGTGTCCCACCCACCCGCTCTGTGTCTGCTGCCCTGTTATGTATGTAGAGTGCTGCACTGTGTAACAGTTGCTACTGTGGCTGTTGTAATACAGTGCATCACCAACGTGGTGGCAACAAACCCTGCTGCAGATAAGTTCACTGGTTATCAGCTGTCCGAGTTGACAGCAGTCGCAGTGAGTAAACAGGCAGATGCTGCAGTTTTCTGGTGACTTTAAAGAGCTAAATTGTTAGCCCTAGCTCTAATTTGTTATCAATTGCCTGGAAGTTCATCTCGTTCTTCATCCAACAGTAAGGTAAGAGTTCAAAAACAACATATCTTTATTATTATTTATGGTGAAAAGTCATATTACTGTTATTAAAGGGTAAAAAACATACCCTGTCTCATTATTTAGAACCCCGCATTCTGACTGAGAGACACCACACAATTGTCTTCAAGCATGTTGCACTGAGATCGGTGCACACATACTGTATGTCTCAGTTAGTTTTTGTCTGTTTTGCACTTTATTTTTAAATAACTGCATTCATTTGAATTGTTTTGATAAATAACTGTTGTATATGCAATTACTTTACTTGGATTGCTTGGTAAATTTGAATGTTTTCATATTGTCTTTGGAAAAGTGTTTATTATGCAATTTTCTTGTCTGTTTGACATAAAGCACCAAATCCTTACCTTGTAGCAGCTAAAAAAAACAGCTAAACAAAAGCAGGCTGCTTGGGAAGCCTCTAATGCTTCCTCTCATTAACTACCATCATATATTTGTGTGAATTTGCTTGTTTATATGTATAAAATAAATGTACCTCCTGTGCAACTTTCTTCATCTCGTCCACATAGGCAGCCATGGCGCTCTCACTACTCATTTTTCCCAGTTGGCTCCATGCGTCCCTAACACAGATAAACAAATTTTGAGTCACTGGAAGAAATACACTTGACGACAGCCTATCAGATGACAATGTGGTTTAAAAAACAC